CTGGGCAGGGGTGGGAAAGGAGCATCTCCCTGTTGCCCCCTAGCTAGAGAGCTCACTTTTGAGGTGACTGTAGCTCTCTTGGCAGGGTGCTGAAACACCTGTATGCCCCTGCTTCTTACCACATTTTCCAGTACTGCAAATTTCCTGGAAACATGCAGTCCTGGAATTGAAACATGCCTGTCCCTAGCCTGAAAGGTATTATATTTCTGCCTATGTCTATTATCACTAGGGTTTCTAGATTGCAACATTTCCCTGGTGCAGCTGCTGTTAGGATGACTGAAAGGGGAAGTTCTAGTAAATTTTGCGTGGCATTTGGAGTGGTCACTCAAGCATAGGAAGCATCCCTATTGGTCTGGATTCTGGGGCCCAGCTGCTCTGTTAGGGTTTGCTGGGTGTCCAGTTCTCAAATACACTGGCAAGTGACACCATCATAGGTGGAAAGCATGCTTCAGAATAATGGTTGACTTGGGTCTGTATGGCATCGTCCTTTGCCAGCTAGCCTTAGAGTAGCTAAGATGCTATTCTTCTGATCCCTCCTTTGTTAGAAGTCCAACAGGCCAAAGCCAAAAAGCATACAAAATATCGCTTAGCTGGACTCGGCTTTCTTGAAAAAAATGGCACAAATAATGAACTAGATAGAACTTAGAGTACTTTTTGTCAGACTGAACTTTAAATTTGGATAAAAAAGCTTTCTCTAATATAAGATTACAAGTAGTCATCTGCTTTACAGGGGGAAAATTAGTGCAGCAAAACAGAACACTGGCATTCTTCTAAAAAGTAGGGGAAACAAACATCTCTGGCTTAGGCCATGACATTCATTTTCTGAGTAATTTAGAAGCTTCTTTGTTGAAGCTGCTGTACAAATGTGTGTTTTATTAGGGAAGTTCCAACACCTAAATTTATACGATTTCCACTGTCATGTAATGAAGTGACTTATACCGGATGGGTCTGCAACTGTTGCACATTCATAGATTGCCCCTGAAGGGTGCGGCTTGTCCCAAATAGGAAGGACCCGTAACTCAGGAAGTAGCTGCAGAAGGAAATTTGAGGAGTGAGTGTGCTTCCTGCATAGGGGAGAAGTTTGAAAGTTTTTGAGTCAGCAGCTGTGGGTGGGGTTGAGCTGCCACTGTACCCTCTTTTAATAATAAATACATATTCTCTTATTTACTCTGTGTCATCGTTCAGAGGGCTTTGCATGTTTGGGCTAACCCTTCAAAAAGGAGACTGCAAGGTCAATCAACAGTAGGTTAGGTACCATTTCATTCTCATTCTGTTGAATAATAACTTGAGATCTGGGAAACATGCCATATAGCGAGAGAGAGAAAAAGAGGCTCAACCTGTTTACTTTCACCAAGAGAACCCGAAGAGGTAACTTGGTCATAGGCTACAAGTGCTTTTAAGGCTAGGAAGTAACTGATATGAGATGGCTCTTTAATCAAGTAAAAAGGTTTAGTGGGTGGGTGGTGAAGCTAGACAAATTTGGGTAAGAAACAAGGTGCAATTTTTTAATGATAATACAAAAATTTGCTTAGTAACATGGTAGAGTCTCCATCACTTGAGGTGTGCAAGTCAAGTCTGCATATCTTTTTAAAAAAGAAATGCTAGAGCTCCAGCAGATTTTATTGGCTTGCAGAAGATATTAGGGCTGTGCCAAACGGCACTGTTCCGTTTTGTCTTGAGTTTCGGTGGTGCAATGGAGCAGTGTTCCTTTTCTAATTTCATTTCAATACAAAAAAGTTGTTCCATTCCGTTCCGCTGAAACGGAAAGGCTGTTTTGACGCTATTTCGAAGTTTCACTGGGGATGGGAAGGCAGCCAAGCTGGGCTGACTTCCCATCCCCAGCACTAGATCAGGCCAGAGTCTGGGAGTCAGCACAGCTGAGCTGACTTCCCATCCCCCGCACTAGATTGTGTTGGGGTGGTGAGGCAGCCCAGCTGAGCTGCCTTCTGCCCCAGCGTGTTTTAACATGGGGGATGGCGGCTGGGCTGACTTCCTGTCTCCTGCTGGATCTTGCGCTGGGGATGGGAAGTTAACCCAGCTGGACTGACTTCCCATCCCCAGCCTATGGTCAAAACATCTTGATGGTCAAAGCGTTTTGACTAGCTTCATTTTGTTTTGAGGCTATTTCAATGGCCTTTGTTTCATTCCGATTTTGCTGTTTTGACCTTGAAATTAATCAAAACAGTGTTGGAACGAAACAGACAGTGAAATTTTGCACAGCCCTAGAAGATATTACTGGGTGAAGTTTTATGGTTTTCACTGTGCAGAAAATCCAGCTAGATTAGGGGTGTCCAAGTCATCTGGCTGTGTAAGCTGGATGACAGAGGGGTGTTAGGCCAGTCTGAGGGCTGGATTAGGTCCACAGACTAGCCCTCATGCTGGATCCAGCCCCAGGGCTAGTCTGGTGGGGACACCACATGCAGCGTGTGCTCTGGATCAGCCATGTGTGTTGCTTATCAGACATACACTGGGCCCAGCCCCGTCCTTGGACCCAGCAGCATGTGGGACTGATCCAGAGCATGTAATACATGCAGAGTACAGGGCTAGTTTGGGGTGTGGACTGCATGTTGTGCCCTCACCAGGCTGGTCCTGTGCACTGAATCTAGCACATGGGGCCTGTCTGTGGGCCTCAACCAGCCCAGCCCCAGATTTAGTGTGCAGGGCCATTCTGGCATGGGTGCCACAACCGGTGCGTGCCAGCTCCAGCCTAGCATGGCACACAGTACATGCTGCATGTGGTGCCCGCTCCAAACTGGCCTCATGAACTCTATAGGCCTGATCTGGATTAGCCCCAGTTTCATTATGTAGGGCTAGTCTGGCATGGGTGCCTACATGTAGCATGCACCCCAGACTGGCTCCAGATGGACTCCACATGCGTGCTGTATGCAGCAGTGCAGGCTGGATGATACGGCTGTGTGCCAGATCTGGTTCACAGGCCAGATCTTTGATACCCCTGGGCTAGATGGTCAGCATGAAATATATGAATCTGTTATTTGTTGGAATTCTTTAATGTAACCTGCTGGTTGGCAGTGCCAATTTCATTTCTTATTTTCAGTGAGTCTGTAATAGCTGGTTACAAGAAAAGCCACCACACAGCTGTAAACCCAATGCATTACGCTTGCACAAGGGACTTTACCTGAAGTTGTCAGGGCAGCTGTACTTTTCCTATGGGTGATAACTTTTAGATACTTGTAAGAAAACTAGGCAACCAAATGCTAGCAATAATCTGAGGTGAGTATGTGGAGCTGAGCTACTTTGAAGAAAATATTTATATTAGGGATGCAAATGTGATACATATAATGAAATGGGAAGTAATTTGTGGAATGATATTAGTCATCAGCTGGAATTTTGAAAAACATCTGGAACTTGTTCTTTTTCAGGTGTTGAAATTGGAGAAAGTGCTCTCTGGATTGCACTATGGACAGCACAAAGGAAAGTGGTGATGTCTCTTCTGATAATGGGTTTCTGCTTCGAGTGGGCCTCAATGATAATAAAGCTGGAATGCAAGGACTGGATAAAGAAAAAATCAACAAAATCATAATGGAGGCCACCAAGGTTTGTTTATATAACCTTTCATTAGTGTTGGCTATAGATAAGTTTCTTTGTATTTTACTTGTTGTTTCTGCTTATATAAAGTATTGTATTTTGCCTGTATAAAGGGAGCCATCTTACAGCTATCTCCAAGGGTATGCATATTGGGTACACAATACATTACCTTCCCCCAAACTGATGGGGAATCTGCTAGAAAAGTTGGAATCTGTAACTGTTTTTAGACTTCTCTGTACTTATATACCCCCACTTGAAAGGACCCTCAAAGTGAAATAGCCTCTAGTATATTCACAGGCAGATCTGGGATTTACTAAAGGGGGTGTGTGGCATAATGCCCCTCAGACCTTGGAGAGATGGATATGAAGCATGGTTGGAACCCTGGATTGGCAGGAGATGCTGTGGAGCTGGGCAGGGAGCAGCTGCACGAGGGGATAAATCCTTCTTTTTGTTTTCAGAGACTCTTCTTTTCATGGACTAGCCTGGGGATGACTCTTCAGGAATAACTCTTAATTATCTTACCATCACATTCCTTTTTAACAATAGTGGTCAAGGTAGCCTTACATTGGTTGTTACTTTATGGAAAAAATACTTTACTGAAAACCTTAAAAAACTGTTGCTTTAGATATTGTTTTATGTATTGCTATTCCTTTCACTGTACAAAAAATATTTGCTTGAAATCAGTATTTTTGTTTGTCGTGCATTTCATCTGATCCATCTGTTTATTGTTTCGTGAAGACATAACTCCTTTTAAGAGACGTGCTATTGGCAATTTGTGGAAATAATTTCTGTATAATTACCAGAGATCCTGGTTTTCTCAGTTAAAAAATCCAAAATTCTCTGAGTAAACCCCCCCAAAATCCACATTTTTCCACTATTAAAATGAAACACCACTCTGTGTGTGTGTGCGCGCGTGCGTGTGTGTGCGCGCGCGTGCGTGTGTGTGTGTGTGTAGGTATCAGTTGAACACAATGTGAGTGATATATTTACAATTTCAAAGCAATCTGGAAGCCTTCCAGTGTCTCAGTCATTATAAAATAAATTCTAAATACCTTTATATTTTGGTGTTTGATTTTGTTTTTTTTACCTTGGAAAATCAGAGCTCTTTACCCTTTGTTCTGTCCTTCCTTACCCCCTCGCTGCTTTGTGGTGCTAAGGAGCCCCGATATACTGGTAGCATGCCCCTGCTCATGCCATTGCCCCTCACTCCCAACCCACAGCCCTGCTGGTGCCCCTCACTCTTGAGCTACAGCCACCTGGCCCTGCCAGTGCCCCTTATTCCTGACCCATAGCCCCCCCACTCCTCCAATCCCCACTGGTACCCCTCATTCCCAACCCACTGCCTCCTGCCCCCAGGCCCCAGCCCATCCGGTTTGTGTGTGTGTATGTAGGGCAGGGGGTATAGATGACCACGTAGGCGATGAGTTGGGGGGAAATAGGGGGCCATATGCCCCTCTAAATTTTTGTGCCCACAGTGGGGCTGTAGGGGGCTGCAGCCTGGCCCAGTCAGCACTGGGTAGGAGCTATCTCTATGGCCCAGCAGATGGGACTCAGTGTGGGAGGGCCCAGTGGGCAGGACTGAGCAGGAGGATAGAGTGGGGTGGGGAGGCGTGGTGCTGCCACCACTACCTGGAGTGCTATGCTGCCATGGTTGCTAAGATGAGGCACAGTGATGATGGTATGGAGTTGTGCCCCCATAACCAGCTTGTATGGAAGTCTGAAACATTCTCCCAAGACTCTCTTCCCTTTCGTTTTGTCCAAAAACCTTTCCAAAATCATTCACTGCTTTGTGTTACATTGTGAGGTACTGTAAGAGCAATAAAGGAGAATCCAGACTTAAACAGTGAAAAAATATACAACTAACCCAGAAGAGAGAGCATAGGAGTCTTCTTTCTTCATTGCCACAATAGTGTTTGCTTATAGAAAGGAGAGGTGATATCCCTTCTATTTGGATGCAGTTTCCCTCAATCTCTACTAGTTAGAAGTCAGTATAATCCTTGGCTAAATTCATGACTTCAGCAATCTCCCTGAATAATCGGTTCCATATATTGTGTAAAGAAGTGTTTTGTTTCATCAGTATTGCATGTTATATCTTTCAATTTATATGTCCCCATATTCTTGTGCTTGGAAACTAATAACGTACCGTGTATCTATTTTTCTCTATATCATTATTGGCTACTATAAATACCTTTATTATAACCCCATTTTACTCGTTTCCTTTCTAAGATAAGGAATTCAGTCTTTTCATTCTCTTTTCATTTGAGAGATTTTTCTGTGCCCCTAACCATTCTCATAACTCTGGTCTTCTGAGCAGTTTATAAATCTGCAATTTTTTTTTGTCATCAGTAGTGCATATATGACTCTAGATAAAGCTGTATACCATATATAATGCTGATTTATATAATAGTATCGTTTTTTCTCTTGATGAACCTAGGTGGACCTGTGAGGAAGTGCTGGTCATGTAAAGTAAAAATGTTTTATTCAGTGGGTGCATCTACATGAGATGCTACATTGCCATAGTGCCAGCAGGCACAATCTGTGAGGTGGACGCTAGTGCACAGTAGCATTGGAAATGATCTGTGAGGTGCCAGGCCTACACAGTAACACAGTACTTAAGCAAGTACTAAATGACTGCACAGTAGCAACTGTGCAGTCCTGTGCATGTATAGATGTGCCCAGTGTCTTCTAATACACAAAAGAAAACAGTGCAGAGGGTAGAGTTTTTTGGGGTTATTTCTGCTTTGTGTGCATGTGTTTATTTCTGAATTTTAGTCTAACACTCTGGGATAAGTTCCCTCCACTTCTGAGCCTAACAAATTTCCTGAAAAATACAGTAAACTTTGAGGAGGGACAGAAGACTATTAACTTTATGTATGTTGAATATGTGAATTACAGACCATCATAGTTATTCTTTTTAAGTGTACCTGATTATTTGAAAATCTAAAATGTACTGGTGTGATATTCTTAAGTAATCCTTAAAATACCTAGAATGTAAAATATGATGAGGCTGAATTTGCTTCTCAGATAAAATTACTTTCATTTTATTACAGCTGTTTTTTAATATAACTTAGATCTGTGTAGATAAGTAATGTCTTTTTTATAGTTTACTAATTCTCGAGAGAAATCAATTTAAAAATATATCTTTTTTTCTTTTGGGTAGGGTTCCAGATTTTATGAAAATGAGCTTAAAAAAGATCAACAAGTTAACCAACGCATTGAAAAAATGATGCAGCTGAAAGAGAAAATTACCAGCCAGCAGCTCTTGAAAGCACAGCTCCAGGTACCAATCAACTTTGCAGTTTTTAGAGTGGAGAAAAAAATAATTGGTTTGGGGGTGTGATTTAATGATGTCTGTCCTACTTTTTTAAAATGGTGCCTAAGGTGTTATCTGCCTAATTCCATTTATAAGTTGAGAAGAGCTGTTCAGGAAAAAACCCAGAGATTGCTTTGATTATATAAATGTATGTTTAGTTACAAAAAAGAAAATTAAAATACATATAAAAATAATCTCATGTGAAGTGTTTGTTGTATGAACAAAAGGGAATTAAATCGACTCTTCTTTCCCAATCCTGAAAACAACTAATCAATCAATAATATCAAATCCATTGCTTATGGTGAAGTTTTATGCAATCTGTTCATTTACTTTCTTAAGTATCTTAGCAGTATTTTCATTTAAACAACTTGCTTCTCCTTTTTAAAACAACTTCCTGGTTAATGCACGTAGATGGAGAAAACATTATTTTATTTCTGCAGGTGGTGTATCTGTTACTGAGTGTTACTAAGATAATAGAACTTTTTTCCAACTACTCAGTTGGTCTAAGAAAAGATATCACATCTACTCAAAGAACATTGCCTGCTTATGATACTGTAGTGACTGATGATGTTATAAGAACCTTGATAGTGTTGCATACAAAATCAGAGTTAAAATAAAATTGTTAAGGTGGTTAAAGTAAGGCATTAAAAAGTTAGGAAAGGACAGAATTGTTTTCCTGTGCAACTTAAATATGTTTCTTTGTATAAATGCATTAATATTTTTCCTTTTGCATTACTGCATGGCTGTCCAACTTCTGAGTGGTTATGGGCCACAGGCCCCTCAGCCACTTGCCATATGAGCTGTACGCCCCCATCCTGTCCAAATCCTGTCTTTCTTCATCCTACAGTCTTTAATCTCATTCTCTCCTATTTCCTCATAAGTTAGGAACAACTTTGGAAAGTAGGGCTGGAAGTGACCTCATAAGGTCATCTAGTCCAGCCCCTTGCTCAAGGCAAAATTGTCCCTGATTAAACCATACCAACTATATGTCCTACCCGTTCTGGAAAATTTCCAGGGATGGAGATTCTACAGCTTCTCTAGGTAGCCTGTTCCAACATGTGACCACCCTCAGAAAGTTCCTTCTAACTGCCAACCTAAATTCCCTCTGCTGAAGTTTGAGGCCATTTTTTCTAGCCCTGTCCCCTGTGGCCACAGAGAAAAGCCCATCTCCATCCTCTGTGTAATACCTTTTAGGTATTTGAAGGATGTTATCAAATCCCCCCTGAGTCTTCTCTTCTCCAGAGTAAATAACCCTAGTTCTTTCAGCTTGTCCTCATAAGTCTTGCTTCCCTTAATAAAAAACATTTATTAGTGGTCCCTGGCTGCCCCTTTGAAAGCTGTTGGGAGGTGCGGGCTTTCAGAGGTTGCTGTCAGACTGGGCAGGCTTTGTGCCTCCACCTCTGTGGGGCTTCTGGCATCCAGCTGGGAGCCCCACATGGAGACAAGGAGTGCGATGGCATGCGACTGGACAGCTGATGAGTGGGTAGAGGAGCTCCCACCTGCAGTGCCAGGAGCCCCATGTGGAGGCATGGAGCAGGCCTGGTCTGGCCTGGCAACAGGTGGTCCCAGCTGCAGTGCTGAGAGCCCCACATACTGGCACAGAGTACTGGCAGGCTGGGCTTCTAGCTGGGCCAGGCCAGGATGGTTCCATGCCTCAACATGCAGCTCCCCACTGGACTGCTAGAAGCCCAGCATGGAGGCATGGAGCTATCCCAGCCCGCCCTGATGGAGCCAGCCTGGTTTGGTTTGAAGGTAGACACCAGCAGGCCCAACTGGGCCAGCTCTGTCTGCCATGTGTAGGTCCCGGGACTCAGCCAGAGCTGCCTACTGCCGGGGGGCTTTGCGTGCCATGGGCAATGAGCGCTCTGAGGGCCCACTGCCTGTTGCTGCTGTTGCTGGTGGGGGCTGTGTGCCATGGGGGTGGGGCATGTGATGAGAGGACCTACACCCACCCACATACCCCACACACACTTCCATACCCACAGCCCCACAAACCCCACACACACCCATAACACCCCACAAACCCCACACCCACTCACACCCCTTCACAAATCCACCCCCCAAAATCACACACACACACCCCCCCCCATGCCCACCCCCCAAACATACTGCGCACACACCCCACCCACACAATATACATGAGTAAGATTTTATTTTGAGCTATTAATCAATCACCTCTTTATACATGATACAAACGCATCCAAATAAGGGGAAAGAAAAAAAAAAGTAAAATAAAAATTTTAGTGTTTGACATAAAATTAAAATATGTTATAGTAGATGTTTAATTTTTAGTATCTGATTTGGGGTTTTTTTTGGTTCCAATATGGCAAAACCCCTTTCCCAAAAGGAGTACTTCCAGGGGGTGAGACTTTGGTCCTGAGATGGCAGTGGCACCTGCCAAGGGGAGGGACTACGCAGCCCTTGACAGCTCACCAAAAGTAGTTAAGTGACCCTCCAGCTGAAATAATTGTCCACCCCTACTCTAATCTGTATTTCTTTAGGTTGTTAATAAGAATGTTGTGGGAGACCATGTCAAAAGCCTTGCTAAAATGAAGGTATTTCACATCCATTGCCCTCCCTATCCTCAGAGCCTGTCACCTTATTATAGAAGGAAATCACGTGGTCAACTATAAGTTTCTCTTAGTGACTGTGCTGGCTGGTCCTGATCACTTGGGTTCTTGGTTTTCTCTGTTTAAAGATCACAGATTCTCTGATTTAAAATGCCAAAATCCATCACTCCCCACCCACAGCCCCTTGGCCCTGTTGGTGCACCTCACTCCCCCTGTAGGAGGCAGCAGCTGCTGCAGAAGTGTAGCTCGGAGCCCAGCTTCCCTTCCCCCACAGGCAGTATGGGGCTGCCCCTTCATAGGAATAAAGGGGTCACAAAAACTAATCCAGGTAAGGAGATAAAAAAAAATTAGCCCCTGCTCCATCCCTGGAAATTTTCAAGAACAGGTAGGACAAATAGTTTAACCCATAATTAACGCAATCCAGTTTGTGGGTTCTTTGCTTGTTGCTTCTTCCAACATTACCCCTCTCCCCCTTCTTTTCTACCTTTGTATTCAAATCACTCTTTCCATTTTATATACTGGATTGTCTGTGTCCTTTCACAACATCTGATGAAGTGAACTCAACTCATGAAAGCTAGCTCTAATTAGTCTATGAGGCGTACAACCCTGCCTTCTGTTTGAGTTCAGACTAACATGGCTAACTACATCTCTCTATTTGTAGAAAACCTTTTTATTGCCTTTTATGTCCCCTGCCAGTCACATCTCAAATCTTGCCTTGGCCTTCCTAATATTCTTCCTACATGCCTGTGTTTTATACTCATCCCCAGTAATATAATGAGGTTTCCACTTCCTGCAGGATTCCTTTTTGAGTTTCAACTGTTGCTGTTTAATCAGGCTAGTTTCTTATTGCACTTCCTATTCTTCTATTCTATTGGGATAGCTTTTCCTTTGCATTAAAAGGTCCTCCTTCAAGTACAGCCAGCTCTCATGGGTTTTGTAGAGTCATAGATGTAGGGTTGGAAGGGACCTAAGTAGATCATCAAGTTCAACCCCCTGCCCTGGGCAGGAGAGAATACTGGGCTCATATGACCCCAGCTTGGTCAAGCCTCCTCTTAAAAACCCCTAAGGTAGAAGCCAGCACCACTTCTCTTGGAAGCTGGTTCCAGATCCTAGCTGCCCTGACTGTGAAATAGTGTCTTCTAACGTCCATCCTGAACGTACTCTCAAACAACTTATGGCCGTTATTCCTTGTTACTCCGGGAGGTACACAGGTGAACAGGTTCTCCCCCATTCCCTGCTGGTCCCCCTGGTAAGTTTGTAGATGGCCACCAGGTCCCCTCTCAGCCTTCTTTTGTGAAGGCTGAACAGGTTCAGGTCCTGTAGCCTCTCCTCATAGGGTCTGCCCTGCTGTCCCTGGATCATGCGAGAGGCCCTCCTCTGGACCCTCTCAATGCTGGCCACATCTCTCCTAAAGTGTGGCGCCCAGAACTTTTCATCTTTACATTCTTAACCAATTCCTTCCTGTTTGTGAGCAGCAAGTTGAGAAGAGCTCCCCCTCCACCTCTCCAGTTGCTCTCTGTGTCATCTGCATCAAAACATTATCCCCAACACACTCCAAGAATTTGCTGGACTGCTTGTGCACTGCTGTGTTTCCCTCGTAGCAAATGTCCTGATAATTAAAAGTTTCCAATGAGAACCAAGTCCTGTGATTTAGAAACTTCTGTTAGTTGACTCTTGGGTCTTTGTTGTAATCTCCCAACTAAGCAATCCTTGTTTCTACTCCGTCTGTCCCCAAGCTCCTCATCTCAGTCCCAGTCTCATTGCCCAAACAATTTGTCTTCCACTGGGAGTTCCCAGTACAGATAAGTCTTCCTACCCCCACTTCCTCACACCCTAGGTTCCTTGTCAAAGTCTTCTATCTACCTTTTCCTGGGCTGTTGTTTTATTTACACTCCAGTCGGGCTGTTTCCTCCCTCTGCTATCCTGCCTGGTTGCCAGCAAGGGAGCTATTGAAAACATGGGAGTGAACACTCTTCCTGTTCCCCCTTCCAGCTTCTGGATTAACAGCAGCCAGGAGCAGCAATCACAAAACTCAGCCCCTGCATCCCTTAACTAGAGCACACTGTAGCTAGAATCTTTGGAGAATTTAGCTGTTAAACACAAACTAGCCTTTACTGGTTTGTGTAAATGGCAGTTTTTTAAAAGCTTGTAACCTGGCCAGAACTGAGCAGAAAATGTTCTTAAGGCCAGTGAAAGACATATCCTTGAAAAGTGACCTTCCTGCCAAACTTTGGAACAAGCATTAGTGCATAAGTGCTTCTTAGAAAAATGGTTGTAAGACAGTTTTTTAACAAAGTTGGGGAGCTTCTTTTTTTTAAGTTTCTTTGAAATGGCTAAACCAATGGGGGGCAAGCTTTTTAGCAGGTATGCCATAAATTATCCCTGCAGCTTCCCCAA